ACCCCCCCTCTCCCCTCCCCTTCCCGGGCAGGGAAAAAAGGATGGGGTTAAGTGGGGGGGGGGGAACTACACCCCCCACCCCCCCGGGGAACCGGGATGCGAAGGGCTGGAAGGCGTGGGGCTGTCACCCAAGGGTTTTGTCGAGACGGCGACGGATGTGACACCACGATGGAGACGAGATGATGGATGAAGGGGGGGGACCAGCTTCCCAAATCCCCCCCCCACCATAGCTCTTCTCCCACCCCAACCTGGTGGGGTTGGGAGCAGCACCCATGCCCCCCCCACACACCCCAACACCTTCATCCTGCTTTTCCTGAGCATCATCAGGGTGGTTTGAGGGGGGGTTCAGTCGCCGGGACTTGCAACTTCAACCCTGACACTGTGAATATTTAAAGCCCACCGGTGCCCGTGTGTGTGTCCCCCCCCAACCTTTCCGTGGGGGCCGGGCTTGGGTTTTTTTTGGGGGGGGTGACTCTTGGCACCATCCCTGCTCCCCATCCTCCTCCTCCTCCCCCCAGAGATGATGTGGCTCCGGCCCCGAGCTGGCCTCGGCTCGCTGTCACGCCGTTAAGCTTTTATTTTTTAAAAGTAGTGGATGAAAGTCTTTTTTATCCCACAGAAATATTTTTACAGGGGTGGGGAGGGGGTGCCCGTCCTTGGCCCCCCCCCCCACCACAGGGTTATTGCTGCGAGCTGGCCTCGCCTGCGAAAGGATTATTATATATATATTATTTTTTTTTCCTTTTTGGATTTTTTTTTCCTTTTTGTTTTTTTTTTTTTCCTTTTTGGATTTTTTTTGGGGTTTTTTTCCTGCAACTACGCTTTAGAGAAGGGAAACGGGGCCGGGGAAGGACTTGGATCCACAGGGGAGTAAGGGATGGAGATGCCCCAGCCTGGTACTTGAGGGGGGGCTTTTTCAGCTCAACCCCCTCCCCAGTTTTGGGAAGAGCCTGGATTGGGATGCACCAGCCCCAGAGATACCCGGGGGGGGCCCCCCCTGTTGCCCCCCCCCCCCCCCGCCCCCCATGTGAAGCGGGGGCAACGCT